GAGAAGGAAGAATAAAGTGGGGTGGATCTCGCTTCCCAACTTCAAGCTCTACTCCAAAGCCACAGTAATCAAGACAATTTGGTACTGGCACAAGAACAGACCCACAGTGGAACAGAATAGAGAGTCCAGACATTAACCCAAACATATATGGTCAATCAATATACAATAAAGGAGCCATGGATATATAATGGGGAAATGACAGCTTCTTCAACAGCTGGTGTTGGCAAAACTGGACAGCTACATGTAAGAGAATGAAACTGGGTCATTGTCTAACCCCATACACAAAAGTAAATTAGATATGGATCAAAGACCTGAATGTAATCCATGAAACCATAAAACTCTTAGAAAAAAACAAAGACAAAAATCTCTTGGACATAAACATGAGTGACCTCTTCATGAGCATATTTCCCCAGGCAAGGGAAACAAAAGCAAAAATGAACAAGTGGGACTATATCAAGCTGAAAAGCTTCTGTACAGCAAAGGACACCATCAATAGAACAAAAAGGCATCCTACAGTATGGGAGAATATACTCATAAATGACAGATCCGATAAAGGGTTGACATCCAAAATATATAAAGAGATCACACACCTCAACAAACAAAAAGCAAATAATCCAATTAAAAAATGGGCAGAGGAGGCTGAACAGTTTTCCAAAGGAGAAATTCAGATGGCCAACAGACACATGAAAAGATGCTCCACATTGCTTGTCATCAGAGAAATGCAAATTAAAACCACAATGAGATATCACCTCACACCAGTAAGGATCACCACCATCCAAAAGACAAACAACAACAAATGTTGGTGAGGTAGTGGAGAAAGGGGAAGCCTCCTACATTGCTGGTGAGAATGTAAACTAGTTCAACCATTGTGGAAAGCAGTATGGAGGTTCCACAAAAAACTCAGAAAGACCATTTGACCCAGGAATTCCACTTCTAGGAATTTACCCTAAGAATGCTGCAGCCCACTTTGAAAAAGACATATGCACCCCTATGTTTATCACAGCACAATTTACAATAGCCAAGAAATGGAAGTAACCTAAGTGTCCATCAGTAGATGAATGGATTAAGAAGATGTGGTACATATTCACAATGGAATATTATTCAGCCATAAGAAGAAAACAAATCCTACTATTGTCAACAACATGGATGGAGCTAGAGGGTATTATGCTCAGTGAAATAAGCCAGGCGGAGGACAAGTACCAAATGATTTCACTCATATGTGGAGTATAAGAAGAAAGAAAAAACTGAAGGAACAAAACAGTAGCCGACTCACAGAACCCAAGAATGGACTAACAGTTACCAAAGGTAAAGGGACTTGGGAGGATGGGTGGGAAGGGAGGGGTGGAAAAAAAGAAAGGGGGCATTGTGATTAGCATGTATAATGTGGGGGGTGGGGCACTGGGAGTGCTGTGCAACACAGAAAAGACAAGTAGTAATTCTACTGCATCTTACAAAACTGTTGGACAGTGACTGTAATGGGGTTTTTTGGGGGGGCTTGGTTATGGTGGGAGTCTAGTAAACATAATGTTCCTCATGTAATTGTAGATTAATGATACCAAAATAAAAAAAAATTGTTTTAAAATATTTATGTATGATATAAAGATATACACAATATAATAGAATAATAGATCCCACTTATTTTATATTGTTACATATATTCCAACTAAGCAAAATGAAAGGAGAGCTACATGAAGAAAGTGGTATTTAAGTAGGGTCCTAAAAATATGGCTGTATTTCAGTAGAAGGGAACAGCATGACAAAAAGTCAGAGGTAGAAAAGCATCATTAAAATTGAGGGCAAGGCAAGTAGTATGATGTGGCTGGATCGTAGGATGCCTGGTTGGAATTAGAGTAATATGGAAGATGAGGATGGGACCAGGTGGTGCAAGGCCTTAACACCATGCCAAATTTCTGAACCAGAGGCCTATGAATGCTCTTTGATCACATTTTTCATGGCAGTAGTGTGAAGAATGGATTGAGGCAAGGGCTTCATTAAGAAGCTGTTGCAGGGGGAGGCTTGATAATATGGGTGAATGTAGTAAGCACAATATTTTTCATGTGAAACCTTCCTAAGAGTGTATATCAATACCTTATTGAAAAAAAAAGGATTTTATACGTAATTTTACCATTCAGGTAAAATTGGAATAGATAATTCCAATTTTATGCAAACTCTTTCAGAGTTAGTAGAAGAGGGAATTCTCTACAACTAATTTCGTATGGTTAGTATAACTTTAATACCAAGCAAAGACAGTATAAGAAAATAAAACTATAAATCAATAAATATCAGTAATAATATAGATGGAAATGTCTTAAACAAAATATTAGTAAACCAAATTCAATATTGGATTTATAAAATTACATTGTGATCAAGCTAAGTTTAAACAAGAAATACAAGAAGAATATAAAACTTTATTAATGTAAATCAATGTAGAACAGAATGGAAAGAAAACATGGTCATCACAACAGATTCAGGAAAAGTATTTGGTAAAATTAAATACTAATTCCTGTTAAAACTCCTACCAAACTAAAAATAGAAGTTAACTCCCTTAACCTGGCAAATGATTACAACAACAACAACAAAAACATAGTAACCCTATAGTAAACATCATACTTAAAGGTAAAACACTGGAAACATTTCCTTTAAAATTTGGAATGAGTCCAGTATGCCAGTGATAGCTGCTTCTATTTGACATTATGCTGGAGTCTAGCCAGTGCAATAAGACAAGAAAAACAAACAAAGCTATAAGGGTATAGAGAATTTCTTTTTGATATGGAAAGGAAGAAACAAACCTGTGATTATTTGCAGGTGATATAATTGTTTGTATGGGAAGCCCCCCCAAACTTATGAGTTATTAGCAAAGTTCTACATATCTGATAAAAAATTTTTAAATAACTACATTTCTATACAACAGCAAAAGAAAAATATGTTTTAAGTGATGGTGTTTATTACAGTGGAAATATAAAGTACCTAAGACTAAATCTAACAAAACATCTGCTTAATCTTTATGGACAAAGTTGTACAACTTCATTGAAATATATTAAAGAAGTTATACTCATTACATAAAAATTGCAAAATATAAATATTTGGCAGACAAAAAAACCCATAATCTTACTACCCCAGACAACCACATTGTTATGCAACTTTCCAGGATTTTTTTCCTATGCTTTAAAAAATACACAGTTTAACTTAGTTTAAAGAAAGAGAAGAAGCTGTTGCAATAGCTCAGAGGAGATAAGGAAAATGGCAGTGGGGGTAAAGAGGCAAATGCCTGACATTTTCCTCCCAAAAGATCCAGTAATTTCACTTTACCAAGCTAGAGAATTAAGCAATGATTCTTGAGGATATTTGAAATATTCTGATACAATCAAGGCATTAGGGATACACCTATTTAGGTGGGGGCTATTAGAGGAAGGCAGGCAAGTCTTGAAGAAAAGGGCAAATAGCAAAAAGGTTATGCTTAATATGAGACATGACTGTATTTAAATAAGAGAGTAATTTTTTTAGAACAGGACTCCAAAGTTAAAGCATTCAGATAAGGACCAGTTTAACCCAATCCTACTTCTAAGAATCCTTTTTCTGATCCTTATCGAAATGGTCTAATCATTTTCCTCTGGGCCCTCTAAAAACCTTTGATGGGGGTATGGCAGAAGGATTCATCTGTTCATTTGTCTTCCAAGCTAGACTGTGGCATCCATCATGAAAAGGCCAGGTCTGGTATATCAGTTTCCCTAGTGCCTAGTTTAAGGTCTTGTACACAGAATCAGTCAATTACTCAATCAGTAAATGATGAATAAAAGAAAGTGGATTGAGAGACCCACTTGACTTCTTGTTGAATGAGTGTTAGGAGCATTCATTCTCAACTTTCTTGTTACCTTCCTTTGCATACATTGCTTCTTGAGCTGTTTGTTCATTCAACTAAGAAGAGAGCCTACTCTACCTTAGGCAACGTGCCAGCCCTTGCACAGAGGAAGGATAGATGATTCAGCTTAATCAGGCTGTGACAGAAAAGTTCAGCGATGGAGCAAAGAGGAAACAACTAACGGAGCAAAGAGGAAGCAACTAACTCAGACTGGAGGATTAGAAGCTTTCTGGGAGAAATGAAGCTGAGTCCTGGAAGGACAAATGGGAATAACGGCTAACCTGATGGGAGGTGGAAGGTCGGGGTGGTTGAGGTTCCGTCAGATAAACAATATGGGTAAAGTCCTCAGGCAGAGGGGAACAGCCTTCTAGATAACCAAAAATACTTTATTTAAAATAGCCTATAATTTAGATATGTAAGAGGACAATGCTGCTACTAAGATTGGCGGGAGGCAGTCAGAGTTGTAAACCATTTAAGAATTAATGCTTAGTCACAACAGTCATAACAGAATTGGTAAGCCATTGAAGGTTTTAAGCGGGAATGACATGATCAGACTTATATTTTAAAAAGATCATTCAACTGTGCAAATAATGGATTGGATGGGGGCAATGGTGAATGCTGGGAGAACAGCTGAGAGTGTTGCAGTAATGTGGGCGAGAGATGATGGTGGCTTGGAAGATGGTGGTGGGAATGGAAAGATAGAACAATCTAAGACAACTGGAAGAAGAATCTGGCTGTGATGTAGGAGGATAAGGAAGTGATTGGAAAGGTAGGGAAGGTTCGTTAGTGAGCTTTGACTTCATTCTGAGGTTACACAGGGGAAGCATTGAACATTTTAACCTTGGGAGTGATCCATTCAGGTACGGGTTTATAAATAGATCACTTGGCAGAAGGTGGTGAGAGGACTTTCAGAACAGTGCACAGGTAAGAACCGAAACAAACGGGGAGGAAAAAGCAGATGTGGGGAAGCACGAGACTGGAGAGAGATTTCGGAGTCAGGTACGGAGCCAACTGTTAAGAGAGACGGAAACTAGCGCGGCCCTAGGAACAGCAGCACGGCGGGTGGGAATGGGGCGCAGCCGGGGCCGCCCACGCCTCCCGGCGCCGGGGGCGGGACCAGAGCACGCACGGCGGCGTGACGCAGGGCCGCAGCTGGCCTCGTTCTGAGTGCCGCCGCCGCCGCTTTGAGGCGGCGTAGAATGAGGCCCGCGGCTGCGGCCGCGGCTCCGGCGTTGGCAGGGGCAGCAGCCGCTGAGGCAGCAGCTGAGGTGACCGCGACGGGCGCGCCCCCACCCTTCTGACCTGGATTAGGCCCAGCAGCTCCGTGGCCGCCGCCGCCCCTTGGGGGGGCGGGGTGGGGAAGTGCTTCGTCTTCCCGCCCCCCCCATTCTTCGCTCAGCCGGAGGCGACCGCCGCGACCCCAGTAGAGCCCGCGACCCGGCCTTGAGCCCCCACCGCCGGGGTCTGGCATGAGCGGCGCTTCGGCGGCGCTGGGGAACGGAGGAGCCGCCGCCGCCTGAGCCCCGGCCTGCTGCCCGACCCCACCTCGCTGACAGGCTGACCGCGGAGCGTGCGAACGACCCCGCCACGTTCTTCCGCCCCCATATCACACGCCCAGCCCCAGAAGATGGGGAACTGCCTCAAATCCCCCACTTCGGATGACATCTCCCTGCTTCACGAGTCTCAGTCTGACCGGGCTAGTTTCGGCGAGGGGACGGAGCCGGAGCAGGAGCCGCCGCCGCCATATCAGGTAGGGGAGGGTGTGTGTGTTGGGGAGGCGGGGGTGCAAGTAGAGCGGCTCCGGCCGGGATTGACAGGGCTACGTGTGACTGACCCCCTCATCTAAGGGTGGTTGCTCTTCGCTCCCAAAATAGGGGGAACCTTCACCTCACCTCCACCCCGGTATGGGGTGGCACTGTCTGTCCTTGAGTTCGGGGATCAGAGTCTGTGATCATATCCCCTTGGCTGGTGGCTTGTGGTTCGCCTTTAGAGTTTGGGAGTGACATTTTCTTGCTCTTTTGTCTGAATCGTGGAGTCTGAGCTGTGAAGTTTAGAGATGATTTCCTTATCGCGCCGCCAGCTGGATTGTGGGTTCTAGTTAGGTGGTTGTACCCCATCCCACTTATATTTTCATGTGTTGTCCACTCCCTTCTCTCCCTCTTCTCTGTCTGTTAATGGATCTGATAGGTGTTCATTTCTATTACTTGGGAGAAGTTCGTCAAGTGGTGATTTTAGACCCAACGACATCGAGTTACTTGTTTATATATATGTATATATTAATTTGTAACCCCTCCTCTTTTTGCTCTACCCCTATGACACGGCTTTTAAACACGCTGATTCAATAAAACTTGATTATCTTGAACTTTGGAAAGCTTTAAACCTGGCTTAAGAAATACCTGGTGTTGCTCATGGTTCTCCCTGTGTATCAAAGACTTTTCTCCTGAGTAGTTTCATTGCTTTTTGTACAGCAATCAGCAGCTCCAGATGTGTTTCCACAATTCATGAAGAGCCAAGACCTCTTGAGAAAACTCAAAATATATATGTGGATGCAATAATGTACAAGATACACAAAACCTTTCTTCTACTTTTTTCGATTTTAAATGATGTTTGTTAAAAGCTTTATTTCCAGTCGGGCTTGAATAATTAAATGGCTTAATTTTTTTCCTGAAGGCAGTTTAGTTTTCTAACTAGGCATTCTCCTTTGTTGTTTCATGTGGTGACATCATCTAGTGTTATTCTTTTCTCATTCCTGTGTAAACCAGTGTCTCATCACACCAGAAAAACCTGATTATATATGTTGGTTTTCTGAATAAAATCCTTCAAGGGCTTCTCATATATACTAATAGTCTTAATTGAAGCCTCCATGACTATCTGACATTCTTGTATTCCAGTCCTACCAAATACACCAGCCTGTTCACACCTCTCTGCAGTTGCTCCAGTTGCTCCTTCTGCTTGGAGCCCTTCCCCCAAGGTCGGCCAGGTGCACATCTAACCCTCTTTGAGGACTCAGCTCTTGTGTCACCTCACATCTGAAGTCCCTTCATTCCCCTCCGTCCTTCTCTGAATCCAGCACTCCCTTGTGTCCCCAGAACCCTCAACACTTACTTAAACAGTACATATAACTCTTGAGAGTTAATATCCTTGTTTAGTTAGATGTTGTCTCATCCTTGAGGCATTTCCTTCCTTCCCCAGTGTAAGCTACATGCAGGTAGGGATCCTGTCTCACCTGTTTGCTGTTGTATCTCCAGCATCTGGCTCATAGTAGATACTCAGTAACTGGGGTAAATGAAGACTATAAGCCCTTGAGAATAAGGACGATGTCCCCAGTGCTTTGTGTAATTTCTGGCACAAAATAAAAACCTAAATATTGAATGAATTAATGAATTTGAATTGTCCATGTTGTAAGTTTACATATCCATTCCTTCCATACAGTTGTCACAGGTGAAGTCTTAAAAATCCAACCTAAATCTAGATGTCTTTCTGAATCTTTGAAGCAAGTATATTGTTTATATCTCACTTTTCATTTCCCTTATACTATAGAACAATGTGCTTATTTCAGTTGTTTCATGAACAAGTTTTTTAGGGATATAAATTTTATTTAAAAATCTCCCATATTCCCTAGCCCCTTTCCAGGCAAATTGGTATCTTTGACTTATTGCTTTGTTTCTCTTATCCATATGATACTACAGTGTTAAGGATAACTTCTTTAGAATTTTTGGGAATTCTATTTGTCAATGAGAGTTTTGGCATCATGAAGGAACATTTTTTGAAACATGTTATTTGTGACAGTTGGAGTTTTTTGTGGTTGCCCTTTCCTGAAGTCAATGACTTAGATACTGATATGCAAATTTGGTATCAATTGGAAGTAAAATAATTTAAGATAGGAGCAAAAAAGAAACTTTTAGAAAAAAAAATTTTCCCCCACGAAGGAAATAAGATTTTGGGGAATGGTTAATTTAGATGAGCTAAGAAATACCAATCCAAGGTAGATGATATATATGTTCAGTAGTGGAAATAATTTATTTTTTTCTTCAAAAAAATGTAATTTTTTTGTTGGTATATAATTAACAGAGCTACCCGAACATTGGTTTATTTCTTAAAAGAATAGTCTTAGCTGAAATAGGATTTTTTTAAAATTCTTAAAGGGAAAAGCTGACTATAAAGGAAAATACTTGGTATGTCCCTGTACTGAGTAGTTAAAAGATGGCCTTGTGTTTGTGTTGCACAATGTACATATATGTCAAGAACTCAAGTAAAACTCTTAAATTCCAGTTATTTCCTATTAGCAGGATTGAAGAGGTTTGTTTTATATACTTATGCTTTAAAGTAAATGCTGCACTGTTATGGTAAAAGCATATAGGAAGTACATATTTCTATACTGGGTTCGTTAGTGGCTTCCTAACTGGTCTCTCTGCCTTTACCCTTCCCTCCCTATAATCTGTTCTGAACCCAGCAGCCGGAGTGATTCTGGTGTAAAAAGATCTTGTCACTTTGCAACTTCTGTGCATTCCCATTTCATTTAAATAAAAGCCAAATTCCTTAGTATCCCATAAACCCTACACATTCTTTTCTTCTGCCCTCAAACATACCTCTCTTGACAACTCTCCTACTCTCCTCCCTGCTGGCTTTCCTTTAGCTTCTCTGGCCTGCTTGTTCCTAAGATGCTCCAGGACCTTTGCCCTGGTTGTTTCCATACTTGGAGTACTTTTCCCCCAGGTATCACCATGGCTTACTTACTCCCTCACCTTCAAGTCTTTACTCATATGACACCTTAAACCATCTGTGACATCTCTATTTAAAATTACAACCCTGTCTCAACACCCTAGAATTCTCCCCCTGTTCTATTTTTCTCCCATAGTATTTATCACTTTCTAACACACTATCTTTATTTTTTATTATCTGTCTCCTCCCACTAGGTAGCAAGCACCCTGAGGAAAGGGGATTTAAAAAATTGTTTCCTGAACACCTAGAACAGTCTGCACACATTAGGCACTCAATTATTGGTTGAGTGAATGGATTTCTTTGAAATGAAATGAAATATAACCGTTTATTTGGAGGCAAGTGCAGTCAAATGTCTTAAAAGAACTAAGCATATCCTAGTGCCTTTTTTCTTTTGTTATGAATCATTTTTAAGTACTCAGTCCTAAAAATTAAGTCCCAATAATATTAAATATAGAGATTGGTTTGAAATAATTACTGAGAAAATAATTTAGGTTTTTCTTCACGCTATATTATACAAAATGTTTATGAGAAAACACTTGAATCCTTGTTATTAAAGAAATGGAGGAAAGAAGTTGAAGCTTTTCTTCAATTGTAAGAAAAAAGAAGTTTGGCATACTCTCAACTCTCTCCTTCCTGAATGTTTAAAAAAGAATACAAGGGAAATATACCCATCAAGGGCAGTCTTAGAAGGGTAGTGAGATGGAGGATAAGTCATTCAAGCCTGGGAAATGAAGGCCACTAAGAGGAAAGGGCCAGGTAGGTAGCCCAGCGATGAAAGGTATATGTGAACAGATTGAGGTATTACTGTCACTCTAAGACACTCCTTTGTCATATGCTAATTCAAGAGCAGCACTGTGTTAGAAAGAGCATAATATTCACTGGACAACAACAAAAGCCACTGCAGTATTTCTGTCTGAATACTGTGTGTGTGTGTGTGTGTGTGTTTGTGTGTGTGTGTGTGTGTGTGTACACAAAGATTGGTACTCACTCAGTTTTGCAGTAGTTATGTAGTTTGAGATTTACTAATCTCTTCCTCTTGTCTTACACTTTGTGATTAATGTATTTGAGATTTTAAAATCAAGAAAAGTTATTGTTAGTACAGGAGTGAGGGCAAGTGTGGCTCTCGTTTTGGAGTCAGATGAATCTGCGTTCAAATCCTTGTCACATGTAAAATATGAAGAGAGGTTATCATATTATGTTATGAGGAACTTCTTTTACAAAAAAACAAAGCAACATTTTGGATAGTTCAAATTGTGACAGAATAAAGTTTTCTTCAAGATAACTTTTAAAAGAAGGCTTGGTCTCATGGAACTCATTAAAAGTAACTACCTCCTTTAAGAACTAGAATAAAATAATATGCTTATTTTTAAGCATTAAAAGTTGTAATAATACATTCATACCTTGTTTTTCTGATAACTTTTTGAAGTTAAATTCAGTTAATTGAAGATTTGTTTTTATGTATTAGCATTTTGTTTACCTTTTTGGTGGAAATTACCTCAAAATGTATTTCACATCTTGGTCTTAATAAACACACCCTTTGTGTGAAATTTTATCCACCCCTCCCCTTTGAAGTTCTGCCTTTACATTAAGGTACAGGTCAACTCCAGCCTCTTAAAGCCTTTCCTGACCATTTTCTTTTGCACTTTCAGTTTCTTTAAGTGCAGTACTTTAGTTTGTAATGTTTATATGGAAATCCTAAATTACCTTACTAGTTAGCTCTTGGTGCTTAAACAATTATTTTTTTTTTCAGATTATAGTTTCTTAAAAATGAGAATGTTGTGTTAAGATTTTAAAAATTTCTCCCATGGTAAACAAGATCACAGATTCAAAAAGACATATGCAGCCCTGTGTTTATTGCAGCACTATTTACAGTAGCCAAGACATGGAAGCAACCTAAGTGTCCATCAGTAGATGAATGGATAAAGAAGATGTGGCAGATAGACATAGTGGAATATTATTCAGCTATAAGAAGAAAACAAATCCTACCATTTCTACCATTTGCAACAACATGGATGGAGCTAGAGGGTA